CTGCCGTTATGGGTCTTCAACCTGATTTTCTAGAAGAACCAACAGAGAATCACTTGAAATGAACAGACCTCGTAACTTACGTCCGCCAAATACTTCTCAAGAAGCCATACGCAAATTGGAAGATTCTCACTTTCATTAAATGTTGGCAATAAGACTGTATATTCTGGGGCCATTTCTACTACAAAAAATTAGGATTTGCCATTCAACAAAGTTCCAAGCAGAGATAACTAGGTTGAAACCAGACCAAAAAAAAAGAAAAAGAAAGAATATAAAGTTTATTTCAACAATGATAAAATTACGTAAGTTCACCTAAATTCTAACTAACTACGAATTATTTCATTTTTCGTGCTTTCTTTGGCTTTTCTTCCTTGGGTTCTTCCTTAGCAGGTTGCTGAGTATCTTGTACTTGAGGATTCCAAAACTTCATGTACACCGAGGGATCGAAATTATCATCGATCTTTTCCTAAAATATCACATGGTAAAACCATAAACGGGGAGTAAAACGGATAATGGCAGTTCAATGTCAAATTTGAAAAAATGAATTATAATTCTTTCGCGAGGTGATGAAACGGACATGAACAGATATGTTGTAAATTTAATACCACGACAAGAAGTACATGATACCCACCTGTACAATCTTCTTTGCCTTCGGCTTTCTAGCGGCTAATCTCTGCCTTTTCTCGTCTTCGCTCAACGCATTGATGTCTACTGGCAATTGGACAACCTAAAAAGGTGAAAGTCGGATCTATTCCCTGTGCTTATAGAACTACGTATCACATAAGTGCGAAGCAGTTTAGCATTTCCAACCAAACCAAAGTTAGTAAGATTCTGAGAAAAAACTCACTGATCTTGGCTCTAAGTAACGAATCTCAATACTCGATCCATCCGGTCGTATTAACCTAACTGGGTAGTGGCGAAGATACTGTTGCCGGCAGATTTTGCCAAGACATGCACGCCAAGCATTTCCTCTTGCTGAAGACAGTGGGTGCATATAAGATTGATTGGGAAAAAATCTATGAAGATAAATCCTATAAACTTCTCCAAAGTAGCTCATACAAATTGATAATAAAAGAGAGTTGAGAAATGACCAGATAAT